GGGATCCAGGGTAATTTGGCAAGTGGAATCCAAAATTGGTTTAAGGACGAGCGATAGAGAGTGATAGTAGAAGGCTTTGTGTCTGAAGGCCAGTGTCCAGTGGCATACCACATGGATATGTCATGAGTCCCCTTTTGTTTGTGATATAAACAATGTATATGACAATGTCAAAGGGGATGATAAGTACAAAGAACAATACAGCACAGGAACAGGCACTTCGGCCCTCCAATCCTGTGCCGACACACTTTACCTTTCCATATTAAAACTGTCTTCACATACAGGATGTGTATCCCTCTATTTCTTTCTTATTCATGTATTCGTCCAGGTGTTTCTTGAATGCTGCAATTGAGTCTGCTTCCACCACCTCCTCTGGCAGCATATTCCAGGCACTCATGACCCTTTGTGTGAAAAACGTGCCTCGCACATCTCTTTTAAACTTTCCCACTCCTCTCACCTTGAACCTGTGTCCCCTAGTAATTGACCCCTCCACTCTGGGAAAAAGCCTCATACATTCCATTCTAACAATGCCATTCACAATCTTATAAACTTCTATCAGGTCGCCTCTCAACCTCCTGCATTCCAGTGAAAACAAACCCAGTCTATCCAACCTTTCTTCATAGCTAAGTAAATTTGTGGATGACAAAGTTTGGCTGGATAGTTAACAGTGAGGAAGAAGATTTCAGATTACAGGAGGAAATAGATGTCTGTTAGACGGGCAGACCAGTAGAAGATGGAATTCAATATAAGTGTCTGGCGGTGCACTTTGGAAGAAGTAACAATATATGTATGTACTCAATGAATGTCAGGACACTAGGAAGCTCAGAGGAATAGAAGGATCTTGGAGTGCCCATCCACAAATCCCTGAAGGTGGCAGGACAGTTAATAGGGCAGTTAAGAAGGCATATGGGACTTTTGCCTTTACCAGTCGTGGCGCAGATTTCAAGAGTATGGAGTTTATGTTGGCGTTATATGGGACTTTGGTTAGGTCAGAGCTAGAGTAGTGTATGCAGTTCTGGTCACCTCACAATAGGAGGGATGTGACTGCACTGGAGGGGGTGCAAAGGAGATGCATCAGGATGTTGCCTGGAATGGAGCAGTTTAGCTACTAAGAGAGATTCGATAAGCTTGATATGTTTTCTTTGGAGCAGAGAAGGTTAACAGGGGACCTGATAGAGGCATATAAAATTTTTGAGAGCTTGGACAGGGTGAATAGAAAGCAGCTGTTCCCTTTAATTGAAGGTTCAATAACAAGGGGACATAATTTTAAAGGGATAGGCAGGAGGGTTTAGAGGGGATTTCAGGAAACTCTTTCTCACTCAGAGGGTCATGAGAATCTGGAATGCACTGCCTGGGAAGTTAGTTGAGGCGGGAAATCTCACAACCTTTAAGAAAGTACTTGGATGAGCACTTGAAATGTCATGACATTCAAGGCTATGGGCTAAGTGCTGGTCAGTGGGACTAATGTAGACTTACAGTTGTTTTTATTCGTCAGTACAGACTCAAAGGGCTGAAGGGCCTCTTCAGTGCTCTATGATTATATATTTCAAAAATTCACACAGCCTTTGGAAAGCTCCAAAAGGCATATGGCAGGGAAACAGAATGTTGTGGTTGATTGGTTTGCTGAGCTGGTTCATTGTTCCACAGATGTTTCATTACCCTGATGGGTAACATCGTTGGCTTCATCAGAGGCTGTACTGATGATGTTACCCAGCAGGGTAATGAAACGTCTGCGGAACAACGAACCAACTCAGCAAGCCAACCAACCATAACCTGAGCTACAAATCTACTCTAAAACCTTAGGGAAATAGAATGTTAGGCATGTGTCTTCAAAACAGGCAAGGGAACAACCCAATCCCATTGAAAAATTGATGAGGCACTGTCAGATAAGCTACTCATACACTTCCAAGGTTCCATCCTGATAGGTTAGCACTGCTGAATCCCTGTATCAAAATGCAATCAAGTTCCATGCCAAGCTATTCCTGTATTTTTGCTCTGTTTTGCAAAGGTAGCTGCCAGTATGCTTGCAATTATGGTAAAACTCTTCTCTTTCTAAATCAGCTCTAGAAGATAGGTCCGCTCCACATATGCCAGGTAGATGTCTCAAAGCCTGTGGAAAATTGTTTTTGTACTGCAGAACATTAAGGAGTGTGAGTAAAGGCATCTACTTCTTCTATTTTCATTTTCACTGTTGCCACTGGCACCTTGGATGGTGCAGCGATCAGGGGCATCTCTGGAAGTTTCCAAGAAACTAGGCTGCAAGAGGCAGGCTTTAAAAACTTTAGTCATCTGACACCAACCTGGCCAATTACTGTCCTAGTATATCAGCATGTCACAAAAACCCCTTCTAAGCTTCTTCCACAACCCATTCAGAAGGGCAAAGCCAGCAGATATATGGGAATATCACCATCTGCAAGTCCTCCTCAAGGCACACACCATCCTGACTTGGAAATATATCACTGTTTCTTCAGTATCACTGGGTCAAAATCCTGGTACTTCCTCCCTAACAGCACTATGGGTGTCCTACACCCAAAGGTGCAGCATTTCAATAAAATGGTTCACCACCAAATTTGTAAGGGCAATTAAGGATGGTAAATAAATGCTGGTGTAGTCAACTATGCTCAAATCTAGTTCAGCATACCCCCTTGCTCTGATACTCTATGCCACTATAAATAATGCCCAGGATACTGAATACTTCTATATATATAAATAATTTTTCTGTCATCAGGTAATGAGTACATTCAGCTCTTATGTAAAGTTACTGACCATGTTGGATTTTAATCTGCAGAGTATGTGGGCTGGGGAACCAGTGTGGGGTTAAAATCATTTAGGTTGACAGTGCATTGGGAAGCCAACTCCAAACTGCCAACTCCTGCATTTGACCACAAAGACAGAGAAATGAAAGCAATTACCTCAGGAGAGGCAGGCTGTCACTTAACACACTTTAGTCACTTATTTGGACCTGATATTTCAATGTTAATCGTAGATGCACTAGTTTCCCACGTTTCTTGGAACTCACCGGTGAAAATATACAATGGCAACTGAGGGCGCTGAAGCATGTCACAGCACTACTCCAATAGGTATTTTATATTCATGGCTACACTTTGCTTGCTTGTCTTCATTGGTCATCGTCTATTCTTGTCTTGACAAACAACAAAAAATAAAAAAGGCCAACTGCCTGCAAACAACCAGTAGGAAAATGGCAAAGAAAAATAATTTTGATCTGTTTAAAATAAAAGAGATGTAAAAATACATCAATGTCTTAAACCTTCATGTGTATCTCCATGTGCAACCAAAAATCTTTACTTTCCACTTCCAATGTTTCTACAGGGTCAATTCCTGTGGTTTCAGCAGAGGAGAGAAATTAAGATGCTCTTCCACACCTCAGTCCTAAATGACTTGCCTATTATTCTGAGACTGTGTCCTCCGATTCCAAATCCCCCAGCCAGGGGAAACACCATTTCTGCATCAACTCTCCACATCCCTTTAAGAATGGTGTAATTTTTTATGAGATAGCCTTTCATTCTTCTAAACACCAGAGAATACAGGTCATGTCTCCTCAATCTCGCCTCATAGCACAGTCCCACCATACCAGGAATTAGACTGGTAACTAATGTGTGGATAGCTCAAGTGGTTTGTGGTCTGCCACAATGGTCCTGCAACAATGTACCCTCAGGCAGAATGACCTCCCCACATGAGTTACCATCATCATGCGTGACCTCAGTTACCTTTGGTGGGTTGCTTGACAACTGTGGGAAATAGAAGACATGAATGAGTACTGTCAAGGGAAGATTACTTCAAATGATCATTTTAAAGATGATCATACTTCACTTGTAGCATCAAAATAACACGAATAAGTGTTGCATGCCATGTGCCTGCCTGACAATTAACTCTTGTTATTGAGTAACTTGGATATTCCCACCGCCTCATTTCTGTTGATTGACATTCCACTGATTCCCAGTCTCTTCTCTTTTGCAGCTATGGGCAGTGAGATGACTGGGGGAGCACATCATATACTCTGTCTTTCCCTCGTTCTAAGTGCTCTCTTTTGGATGTCTTGCTATCTTTTGAATGAGAGATTAAACCTGTTTGTCCTTCCAGACCAATATAAAAGTTCCCAAAACCCCATTTTGAATAACAGAAATCATCCCCATTATTTTTATTTATCGAACCTTTGTTCAACAGTAAACAAAGAATGCACTAATGATCGTTATCACATTGATATTTATGAGTGTTGTTGCCGCATTTCCTATTTTATAAAAGTAACGAAACTTAAAATGTACTTCATTGGTTGTAATGCACGTCAGAACATCCTGAGATCAGGGAAGATGCTGAAATAATGCAAATCTTACCTTCTTCACTCCATTCCAACACTTCTTTTTCTCGCTTTGGCATCTCCAACTGTTTCAGGTTGCGTATTTGGAGAGTTATTTTAATACTGGAATCGAGATTCTGTCATATAGCCGTTGGTACGGCCCCTAATGCTTACTTGGCCCTAAGAAATGTGGATATCAACTCCTCAAGAGGTTGTTCCTCTACTAATGCTATACCACATCCTGAGAGACCAACCTGCAGCACCTGAACATTTAAAATGAAATCCCTTTAGCTCTCCGCAAATGCAAGTAGCTCTTTCCAACATTATTAAGTTTTTAATTTCAGACTCGCAGCTCCGAACCTTGTACATGCAACACAAACACTTTCCATTAACAGGCAGTCCCACAAAAACCGCTTTACCCAAGCACGTGACCAGCTGGCCTCGCGCCTCCTGCGACACGTGGGTGGGCCATGACCGCGCCCCTTCAGCCAAGAGGGAACCAATCAAAGGCCAGAATATACGTGAGCCTATAAGAGGAGCTAGCCGCTCTATTTGATAAACATCGGGATAGACCAATAGGATTGTTGAAAGTTCAAGCTGTCCAATAGTGGGTGGGGCGGTGACGCAGGCACTCTATAAAAGAGCAGCGCAAACTGCTGTTGACTGTTTATCGTTTCCTGCAACTTAGCACGTTTTAGTTGGCAGTAGGACGATGCGAGAAATCGTGCACCTTCAGGCAGGCCAATGTGGCAACCAGATCGGAGCCAAGGTCTGTTCCAGAGTCACGCAGGCAGTGAAGGGATAGGAAGGCGAAGTATCCAGAGAGTCTCTGAGTAGTCCGCACACGGCGTCGTACTCGAAGCGGGGAGAATTAGCCACCCAAATTCGCTGTTTTCCGTTAATGCGGTATCGGCGATGGGGTGTGGTAACCCGCATTGGGCTATTCGGAGAGTGCGCGAGGCGCCGTCAAACGGGGCAGTTGCCCGAGACATCGGGCGACTGTACCGTTTTTGAATAGGTCGGGAGCAGAGGTTTTAGGTTTAGGCGATAACTTCCTTTTTTTTGAGGGGATTTCGGTGGTTTGAGGCGCCGCCTATGCGGTTGATGCTCCCCTGTTTTGGGTGGGGTGGGGGAGGTGGTTTCGGTGTTAGGGTTGGGGATCGGTCCGGGTGACGGTTGAATTTGAGGCGCTGGCCGTTGGAAAGCGCGCGAAGGTGGGCGCCGCATGTAGATGGGCGCGAGGTTGAGGTGACGTATTAATGACCTCGTGCGCCCCTTGCATCACGTGGTGCGCCTTCAGCTCCCGCTCGATGTGCACGTGGAGCTCTTCACCACGTCCTGTACCTTCAGAACGACATGGAACCGAACAACGATAACAGCTTCACATTACCCCTTTTTACAGACGATAAAGTGTTGCCAATTAGACTTGCGTCAAGCAGTACTTGATTCTTGATCACCAGGCGACAGGGGCTTGGATCGATATACGCAAACAAAAAGAAACTGCTGGAAAACCTCAACAGGTCTGGCAGCGCCTGCAGAAAGAAATCGGTTAACATTTCGGGATCCAATAACCCTTCAGATTACTGGCCTGGCTCACTGTAGGCCTCTGTTTCAAAGGTTATAATTTAGGTCCGTGTCAACAGAAAGCTGGAATGTCTGATGTAACCCTTCCCACATTTGATGCCTAAAGGTAGCTCTATCTTGAGTTATCTTCAGATCCTATAAGTATTGTTCTCATAGTTGAACCTTTAGTCTAGTCAGCTGATGTGATTGAAGGTTATCATTTTGATAACTTTTGGAAAATTATTATCATTCTCATTTCATTCAAAATAAAATCAATTAGTGGAACATGTCTCTTGCTACAACTAAAGCTCAACTTTTAACTTTTTTTTTTGACCTGTTCTGTTCTCCACATGGACTATAAAGATCATAAGTCAGTTCAAATGGAATTGTTGACATTAGAGACATGTGTTCCTGTGATTGCTGCTGGACAGCAAGTCACTGATATTCAAAAATGAATAACCAGAAGCAAAGATTAAAAGCTTAGCATGAAATAATAAAACATGGTAAATGTTTTTAGAAACAATGAGTGGTTAAAGTCACTTGGTCACTTAGAGGCAAAGACTGGGGATTCAATGAGAAAAGGACAGAGATTGAGTGCATCAATCTTCACAATTGGTTGACAAGTTCCCTGGACCTGAGGGGGGTCCTCCTAATGTCTAAATGAAGTGTTTGCGCAGATCATGGATACATTGCTTGCAATACTCCAAAGTAATGTAAATTCTGGAAAGGTCCTGACAGATAGCAAAAATCATACTTTTTTCCAAAAAAGAAAGCAGAAAACTATAGGCCAGTTAGACCAATGTGTAAAATTGGGCAAAATGCAATAATCAGTTATTCAATAGGAAGTTTAGAATTTTTCCTTGTGAAAGGGAAATCATACCTGCCAATTGTATTAGATGCCATTTGGGTATGTCACAAGCTAGAGAGCTGAAGGAAAAACGGTGTGTGAAAAGAATTTGGATCCTCAAAAGGTCTTCAGTAAACAGCCAGGCAAGATTTCCACATGATTTTGGTGTGTTAGCATATAACAAGGACAGGCTAACAGGAAATAGTTTGGTACAAATGGTTCCATTTCAACATGGAATGAGACTGGGATCTGTGCTGGAGCCCCAGTTACTTAAAGAGCTATATTAATGGTGTACATGAAAGGATCAACTGTTATAGCCAAATTTGCTTTTGATGGAGAGGTTGGAAAGCAAGTTGAGGACAAACACTGCAGTTAGGTGAAATTTGGCAGATGGACTATAAACGAGATGTTGAAGTCGTTGGCTTTGGCAGGAAAAATGGAAAAGCAAAATCAGTTGGGAGGGGAGAGAGTGGAGGATGCTGTAGTTCACTAGGACCCAAGTGTCCTTGTACCTGAAATCATGCAGGTCAGCAGGTAATTACAAAGGTAGGTGGAATGTTAATTTTTTATTGCAATGGGAAAGAAGTATGAAAATAGGGAGGTTGTAATACAACTGCAAACACTGAAGTACAACATACAGTTTTCCTAAGCATTTTCAGTGGGCTGATCTCTTGAATAGGAGTTTGTTTTACAAGGAAATATTGAACAAGTCAGGCCTATGTTCATTGGAGTTTAGATAAATGAGAGTTGATCTTATTGAAACTTAAAATTCTGAGGGGTCATGACAGGGTGAATATTGAAAGGACGTTTCACACTGTGGGTAAATCAAGAACAAGGGGACACATTCAAGAATAGGGGCTGTTTCATTTAAAGTGGCAACGAAAAGGAATTTCGTCTTGGAGTCATTAGTGTTTGGCATTCTCTTCCACAGAACAAGTGGAGAATGGGTCATTGAATCTATTGACAGCTGATTTAAACAGATTTTAGTTGAGGGATTTAAAGCAGGGCCAGAAAAGGAATTAAGGATATAATCAGATCAGCCATGATCTTATTGAATGGTAGAGCAGGGATCAAAGGGCCAACTTCTATTTCTTACATTCTTAGGAGTGATGGAGTCTTTGCGGGAAATGGGAGCTGAGAGACTGCAAGTAATGAGTTATGCTTTGGAGGCTGGTGTCAGAAATGCTGAATTTTGGTTATAAAGATTGGAAGGAGCCATGCAGACAGATGAAGGTAGAAATATTTGATAACCAGAGTGAAAACTGGGCATTGAGGATCATTAGGATAATCAGGCTTAGTCCTCATATACCACGCCACCGACCTCCGAATACAACGCATCATCCTTTTGACATTTCTGCCACCTACAATCAGAGCCCACCACCAAAAAGATATTTCCCTCCCCACTGCTTTCCACAAGAACCATTCACCCCGCGACTCCCTTGTCAGCTCCAAACTCCCCAACAATGCCTCCACCACACCCAATAGTGTTCCCTGCAACTGATGGAGGTGCTAAACCTGCCCTACATCTCAGCTCCTTCTGAGGGCCCAAACAATCCTTCCAAATCTGGCCACTGAAACCACTTCCTGCTGTTTGTCCATAAACATGCATGGTTTTCTCTTTGAAATATCTATCCCATTCTCTCAGAGGACATAAAAACCAAAAGAACATATGCTGTAAATCAGAAACAAAAACAGAAGTTGCTGGAAAAGCTCAGCAGGTATGGCAACATCTGTGAAGAGAAACCAGAGAACGTTTTGGGTCCAGTGACCCTTCCTCAGACTGGACCCAAAACATTAACTCTGATTTCTCTTCACAATTGCTGCCAGACCTGCTGAGCTTTTCCAGCAACTTCTGTTTTTCTTTCAGAAGACATCATTAATTGGTTTATACACCCCTGTTGGGCATCGCATTTCAAATCACAGCTCTTTGTATTTAAAAAAAAAACTAACCCTGGTAATAAATTCTCTCAATTTACTGAATCAAATCTTTAACAGTTTTGAACATCACACCTTTTTCTGCTCCCAGGGTAAGAATTTCAATTTTCCTGCACAATCAAAGACTTGAATCTTTAGCACCATTCTAGTAAATCTATACACAAGCTCAAAAGAAAAGGGCCAATTTATCAACACTGCCAAGATAAGTGGCACTGTAATTAATCATCACTTGAAAAACAACATTGCCCAAAGAGGGCTCTGAGGTACAAATGCCATCATGTGAGCAGAAGCATTTTGCAATCCATGTTTTAACTCATTTAGAGAACAGTCTGTCTAGCAGCAAAATTCATTTTACATGTGTGGCAAATAATTAATTGATAATATTTTGATCTAAGATGCAAAATTATGAGACCACTTGACACCGTGTTATAAAAGGCATCTTCCAAAAGAAAGTTCTGATGGAGGGTCACTGGACCCAAAACGTTAACTCTGATTTCTCTTCTTAGCTGCTGCCAGACCTGCTGTGATTTTTCAGCAGTTTCTTTTGTACCTTCCAAAAGAAACATCCTTTTTGTTTAGGTTGATGACCTGAATTGTCGGAACTTCATGGGCAAGTCTGTTTCTACATTTGAGAGTGATTGATAATACCAATGTGACCTTTGGGTAACGATCTCATTGCTGCCATGTTCTGTCCATGACATGACATATTGCATTTTGATCCACTTTGCAAGAATTGGAATATTGCAGGTGATGCTGTTGGTTGAGAGTTCCTCAAGAACTGGAGCTGTAATTTATTTACTTGGTGGGATTAGATGGACCTATGCTGTAGACAAATGAATTGTTTATAGTTTTGACAGTGTAGTTACTGGGTGGTGTAAAACATGGAACATTTCATCCAATCTAGGTTAACATGGTTCCCATCACAGGCACACTTTAACCATGCCCAGATAAGAGAGGATCATATTTAGATCCAGATTATCAACACCCATTTGTACACCACATCCTACTGTTCTTTAGCCATTTCATCTAATGAGTAACTGGTTTTGGTCTGACACATTAATATCTGGTATTATCTGCTGTGATTGAGTAAAATAAACCAGACTGGTGAAAAGTCTTTTTATTCTGACATTTTGTGGTCCCCAAAGTTATCATCCCCAAGTTTGATCTCTGAATTAAACAAGTTTCTCCAAAAGGGAAAATTAGTAAAGTTTATCACAAAGGCGTTAACTAAGATTGATGCCTTTTATGTCACTTGGAACATACCATCACAAATATCTAAGGATCAGTGTCTACTATCATAGCAATGTGGATATTGCACTGTGTGATAAAGATGTGGAATTGTTTTTGAGCTTTTAGGGAACAGAATCAAAGACTGAATTACCTACTTCTAATTATTTATTCTTATGACTTGATGGTTGTATTAATAAGGCTACATTTTATTTTAGTTCTGGGAAGTCATCAGCGATGAGCATGGCATTGATCCCACTGGAGCCTACCATGGAGACAGTGATCTGCAGCTGGAAAGGATCAATGTGTATTATAACGAGGCTACAGGTATTAACTAGTTTAAAATAATTGGTCATAATTTGCTTATGTTATGAGCATTAAAATGTCTTTTATCTTACTAATTTTAACTAGGTGGTAAATATGTACCCCGAGCAATTCTTATGGATTTGGAGCCTGGTACTATGGATTCTGTTCGCTCAGGACCCTTTGGGCAAATTTTCAGACCAGATAACTTTGTGTTTGGTAGGTAAAGATTTTATGAAATTGACAACCTGAAGCTGAATGACATTAATTGTTACAGGATGATTAATTTTGAAAACTTATTTGTTCAGACGGCTATCCAGTTTTTCTTGATCGGTGGGTAATTAACAGGAGACTTTACAAAAACTGCTGAATTTTTCTAAGCAAAGCAACAGTAACCTTTGCTGGCCAGATTGCTTTCTGCTGTATTCATGAGGGAAATGACAAGAGTGGAGCATGACCAAATTTTATGAAAATTACATGGTCCTTTGGGAAGATTTAATTTTTACAGTCTTCTTCCCAAATATGTGATGATTACAGCAAGTTTCTTGTTAATTTTGTTTGAAATTAACTAGAATTTTCCCTAACTTGTTTATTAGTTACATTTTATCTTGCCAGTTTGCTTCCATCTCTCTTAGTTTTGCAAATTAGTAAGCTCTTCTCTTTGATTGTTAAAGCTTTTAATTTGTTTTTCCAATTGACAATAGTCTTAAGGGGAAATACTGCTATGGAAAACTTTGTTTTACGCAGTACCATATTGAGTCATACAGTACAGAAACCGACCCTTCAGTCCAACTCACTTATGCTGACCAAGTTTTCCACGACCAAACTAGTACTGCTTGCCTGCATTTGGCCCATATCCACCCAAACCTGTCCTATTCATTTACTTGTCCAAATTGCAACTGTACCTCATCTACCACTTCCTCTGGCAGTTAATTCTACATGCAAACCATCCTCTGAGAAATAACTTGCCCCTTAGGTCCCTTTTAAATCCTTCTCTTACCTTAAAGCATCTTTTAATTTTGAACTCCCCTAACCTAGGGAAAAGACCTTTGCTATTTACCTTAGCTATGGCCCTCATGATCTTACAAACATCGACAAGATCACCCCTAAACCTCGTGTCCGGTGAAAAAACGTCCCAGCCAACCCAGCCTCTGTTTATAACTCAAACCCTGCAGTCCCAGCAACGGTATAAATCTTTTCTGAGCTCTCTCCAATTTAATAATATCCTTCCTACAGCCAGGCGACCAGAACTGTATACAGTAGTCCAAAAGTGGCCTCACTGATGTCCTGTACAACCACAACATGGTGTCACAACTCCTATACTCAATGGCAGTCTTGATAGACTGGTAAAACTTATGTATCTGAAATATTGGAAGTTTAGTGTATTATTGTGATCTCTGAATACTAAGTTGAAGGTGTGAGTGAGAAGCCTCTCTGTTGATAGAGATAACAAGGTGTAGAGCTGGATGAACACAGCAGGCCAAGCAGCATCAGAGGAGCAGGAAAGCTGACGTTTCGGGTCTGGACCCTTCTTCAGAAATGGGGGAGGCGAAGAGGATTCTGAAATAAATAGAGAGGTAGGGTGGGGGGAGGCGGATGGAAGGTGGATAAAGGAGCAGATAGGTGGAGAGGAGACGGAACAGGTAAAGGAGGCGGGGATGGAGCCAGTAAAGGTGAGTGTAGGTGGGGAATTAGGATGGGGGTTGGTCAGTCAAGGGAAGACAGACAGGTCAAGTAGACAGGGATGAGGCTGGTAGGTAGGAGGTGGAGGTGGGGGTTGGTCAGTGAGGTGGGAGGAGCGGATAGGGAGAAAAGACGGACAGGTCAAGGAGGCGGGGACAAGCTGGGCTAGTTTTGGGATGAGGTCGGAGCTGGGGAGATTTTGAAGCTTGTGAAGTCCACATTGAGACCATTGGGCTGCAGGGTTCCCAAGCGAAATATGAAGTGCTGTTCCTGCAACCTTTGGGTGGCATCATTGTGGCACTGGAGGAGGCCCAGGATGGACATGTCGTCCAAGGAGTAGGAGGGGGAGTTGAAGTGGTTCATGACTGGGAGGTGCAGTCGTTTGTCACGAACTGAGCGTAGGTGTTCCACAAAGCGGTCTCCAAGCCTCCGCTTAGTTTCCCCAATGTAGAGGAGGCCACATAACAGCGGCTACAATATACCACATTAGCAGATGTGCAGGTGAACATCTGTTTAATGTGGAAGGTTTTCTTGGGGCCTGGGATAGGGAAGTGGTGGAAGATGATGCGTTGAATCTGGAAGTTGGTGGGGTGGTAAGTGAGGATGACGGGGATTCTGTTTTTGTTGTTATTGAGGGGAGGGGTTGTGAGGGATGAGTTGCGGGAAACGTGAGAGATACGGTTGAGGGCATTTTCGACCACTAGAGGGGAAGTTGCAGTCCTTGAAAAACGAGATCATCTGGGATGTCCGGAAGTGGAATGCCTCATCTCGGGAGCAGATGCGGCGGAGGCAAAGGAATTGGGAATAGGGGCTGGCATTCTTGCAAGAAGGTGGGTGAGAGGAGGTGTATTCTAGGTAACTGTGGGAGTCGGTAGGCTTGAAATAGGTATCGGTTTCCAGGTGGTTGCCAAAGGTGGAAACAGAGATGTCCACGAAGGAGAGAGAGGTATCGGAGATGGTCCAAGTGAACTTAAGGTTGGGGTGGAAGGTGTTAGTGAAGTGGATGAACTGTTCGAGCTCCTCGTGGGAGCACGAGGCAGTGCCGATACAGTCATTGATATAACGGAGGAAGAGGTGGGGGATGGGGCCAGTGTGGCTGTGGAAGAGGGACTGTTCCACGTATCCTACAAAGACGCAGGCATAGCTTGGGCCCATGCGGGTACCCATGGCCACCCCCTTTGTTGTAGGAAGTGGGAGGAGTTGAAGAAGTTGTTAAGGGTGAGGACGAGTTCGGCTAAGCAGATAAGGGTGTCAGTGGAGGGGGACTGGTCGGGCCTGCGGGAGAGGAAGAAGCGGAGGGCCTTTAGGCCCTCTGCACTGGCTCCATTCCTGCGTCCTTGACCTGTCCGTCTCCTCTCCACCTATCTGCTCCTTTATCCACCTTCCATCCGCCTCTCCCCCTCTCTCTTTATTTCAGAATCCCCTTCCCCTCTCCCATTTCAGAAGAAGGGTCCAGACCCAAAACGTCAGCTTTCCTGTTCCTCTGATGCTGCTTGGCCTGCTGTGTTCATCCAGCTCTACACCTTGTTATCTCAGATTTTCCAGCATCGGCAGTTCCTACTCTCTCTGTTGATAGGTTTTGTTTGAGTTAAAATTACATAATTAAAATGATTTATGCTGTAAATAAAGTATAACAGTGATGTGTATACACCCTGCGTTATGTTTCTATTATTTAGTGTGAGTTTTTACATTGATTATGTGGACTTCTTGATCAACCGGAATATTTAATCAATTGGCACACTCTTAGTCCTATAGGTACCCGTTAATAAAAATGCTAATTTCCAATGGAGGTGTTTAAAGTAATTAATCTTACAGTGATTGCCTGAAACTAGGTAACCTTAAGTAGAACATATTGTATGGATGGAGTTTTATGTTATCTAGCAATGTAAGAGATTGTTTTGGTGTGTTAATGTACTGTATTCAGAGACAGAAATTTATCTTGCTCTTATTTCTTACAGGACAAAGTGGTGCTGGTAACAATTGGGCCAAAGGACATTACACTGATGGAGCTGAATTAATTGACTCTGTTCTGGATGTGGTGAGAAAGGAGGCTGAGGGGTGTGATTGCCTCCAGGGATTCCAGCTTACCCATTCATTGGGTGGTGGTACTGGTTCTGGCATGGGTACACTCCTTATCAGTAAAATCCGCGAAGAATATCCTGACAGAATCATGAATACTTTCAGTGTTGTGCCTTCACCAAAAGTGTCAGACACAGTTGTAGAACCTTATAATGCCACCTTGTCTGTCCATCAGCTTGTGGAGAACACTGATGAAACATTCTGTATTGACAATGAGGCTCTATATGACATCTGTTTCCATACCCTTAAACTGACAACGCCAACTTATGGTGATTTGAACCACCTGATGTCAGCCACTATGAGTGGTGTAACAACCTGTCTGCGCTTTCCTGGTCAGCTCAACGCTGACCTGCGTAAACTAGCAGTGAATATGGTGCCTTTCCCCCGACTGCATTTCTTCATGACAGGTTTTGCTCCTCTGACCAGCCGTGGCAGCCAGCAGTACCGTGCCCTCTCAGTACCTGAGCTTACCCAACAGATGTTTGATGCCAAGAACATGATGGCAGCTTGTGACCCTCGGCATGGCCGCTACCTGACTGTTGCTGCCATTTTCCGAGGCCGGATGTCCATGAAAGAGGTGGATGAACAAATGTTGAATGTCCAGAACAAAAATAGCACATATTTTGTTGAATGGATTCCCAATAATGTTAAGACAGCTGTTTGTGACATCCCGCCTAGAGGCCTCAAGATGTCTGCCACCTTTATTGGCAACAGTACAGCTATCCAGGAGCTGTTTAAACGCATCTCTGAGCAGTTTACTGCTATGTTCCGGCGGAAAGCCTTCTTGCATTGGTACACTGGTGAGGGCATGGATGAGATGGAGTTTACTGAGGCTGAGAGTAACATGAATGACCTGGTTTCTGAGTACCAGCAATATCAGGATGCTACAGTTGGAGATGAAGGTGAATTTGAGGAAGAGGGTGAGGAAGAGGCTGCATAAATAAATAGAGTTGTATATTATGAACTTCTAAACATGTTTTCTTTGTTACATTAAGACCTGTTTCTGAAGTTTGTCTATTTTCCCCGTTCTGTGGTTTTGTATTTTGATTTTTTTAAACTACTGGTTTTGAATAAAAATTGTTGATAGTAATTTAAATGTTTTCCTTCTGTGTTTTCGATTTAGAGCATGTAAAGCAGACAAAAGATCGTGGAGTTGTACGTTGTGGAATTATATCACGTACAAGTGAGATTGCTATTAGTTGATCCAATCAATAAGAAATCATTTTGCTAAATAACATTCAGCTGCTGCTTGTTATGGTAACACCATTGCAACCAGTAGATGAAAGGCTGTTGTGGCGCAGTGATACTTTTTCTATCTTTTGAGCCAGAGGCTTGGGTTCAAGTCCTATCTGCTGCAGAGGTGTGTGATTTTTTGTTTCAAATTTAACCTATTTTTCCAATCCATCTGTTCAGAGATGTTATTACATATTTCTGATGTGAATCTGGGTCTCCCAATTCAGGGATAGGGAAACTACCAGTACACCACAAGAGGGCTCCTGGCATGTGATGATATACCTGAACAGTTGATTGAAAATATCTACAACCAATAAATGGTTTAATTTTTAGTTTGAAACCTAGGTGAAGGCTCACATAGCAACTCACCATTATATTTGAAAAGACTAGGGGCTTCAACTAGTCACAAGAAAGCAGTATTGGTGAATTAACTGTGTTTGGTTTTGAAAATTTAGAAGTTGCAGGAAGAAGAAAAGCACTTGGAACGAGATAGTCTTTGGAAAGACTGATTGAAGTATCAAGTAGTGGAATGAGTTTTTGTTCTAAAGGAAGAATGTCTAAGAATAGTTTTGAGTATTTGGGTAATTGGTTATTGTGTCATAAAGTTAAGATTAGTAATCAAGAAAAGCAAAGAACAGTCTAAAGTAGAAGTTCCAAATTGTAAGAGGGCTAACTTCAATGGGATGAGGGAATCTAGCCAAGATGTAACAAAACCCAACATTGAGAGGAAAATCTGTAAGAAAGGATGACCTTTAAGGAGATAGCCCAGGTACATTCCAACAATTGGAAAAGTAGAGCAACCGAAGCTAGGGCTCCTTGGCTGGTTGGGAAGATAGAGATGATGAACTGAAAAATGCTAACATATGATACCAGGTGAGTTTTTTTGAACTGAGAATCAAGCCAATAAAAACAATTTGCAAGCAGAATTGAGGAACAGAATGAGCCCAGAAAATAATGTAAATAGAATGGTAAGCAAAAAGGAACCCCAGAAATCTCTCCACATATAAATACAGGATGGAGCTTATAGGGAAAAAGAACAGGGTAATGTACACTTGGAGGCATAGGTCAAGGATGGGTAACTTTGAGTACTTTGTAGATAGAGATGAAGATGAAGAAGTATGGGAATGAAAACTTAATAAGCAGGCCATACTGGAAAGTGTTAGGCCAAACTTCATGTGAATAAAGTGGTCTAATCTGGATGGTTTATCTTCCAGCCTTTTGCATTTTCACAATTAGTGTAAAACAGGTTTCACAGCTCCTGGTGGGGCACTGAAATTTAAAAACCGGGTCAGCAGAAACTCAATAAAATTATCAAAATGTCACCAGCCCCTAAAGTCCTCTTGTGCCATTGGACTCCATATGCTCCCTCTTTGTGGGTGTAATCACAGAGGAATGATAAACAGTTGGATGCTTCATGGTCCACTGCCTGGACTTGTTGATTCGCCACTTTGCCCAGCTTATTAGAATGTGGAGCGGATTGAAGTGCAACCAGAAGACAAGTGAGCTGCAATGAAAACATTCAAAAAAAACAGATGTGGCCTGGCATCCCATTAACCTACTTCAATGTTTATTGCATGGTACTGCTGCATGCAGCACTGTCCACTTCAGATCCTTGGTGTAAAGGAGAACTTAATTTCAAGAACCCTCCAACCCAAACTTCCTAAGGTAAGTGGAGGTATTGGAAGAGCTTGTCATAATGTAACATAATCTCATTGTTAAGGAGGGTAAGGGAGGAGGAATTGTGTCAGGGAACTGGAAATTGTGTTTTTGTTCAAAGACACATGCAAGGTTTTCCTAATAACTATAGCCAAGTCAGTTCAGAAATGATCGTAAAGACCACTTTACTTTCTTCATTTTTGACTGTAAACTAGAAAAGGAATGACATTGTTAAACCAAAGAGGTGGCTGTGGCTTTAAAAATCATGTTTACTGGAACACATTATTCTAGGAACACGTTATGTTGTATATAATGAGAGCAGAGGTAGAACAACAGAGCCAATTGGTTCTGAAGACAGAAAACTGCTGAGCAACTAACTTCTAATTGGCTTCTGGCCTGGTGACCATTGCTTGTATGCGACAGTGCTACAGACAACCACGTAGCTCACAAACAGCATCAAAACGAGGGATTAAATACGTTTAATGACAAAGAAACAATGAATTCTCAGTGTGCAAACAACCTAACATCAACAAAGAAACTAAAAGAGAAAAGATAAATTGGCTTATACAATCCTGTGGTCGACTGGTATGTTCTCTGATTATCTGTGTAAGAGGGGACAGAGTAGAGTTTCAGGTGGAGAGTTCTTAGTTAGAAAACCATTTCCTGATTACCATACTTTCATGTTCAGTGCAGAAATCTGGTGACTGCTTTTACACACCCATTCCCCACCAGGATAGTCTTAGGGCTCTCCGTTTCTTCCTGGAGCAAAGGCCTGAACCATCCCCACCCACCACCAGCCTCCACAGCTTGGCTGAGCTCGTCCTCACCCTCAACAACTTCTTTTTTAACTCCTCTCATTTTCTTCAGGTCAAAGGGTTGGCCATGGATACCAGTTATGGCCGTCTCTTCATGGGGTACATGGAACATTCCTTATTCCAGCCCTACCCGGCCCCACCCACAACTCTTTCACTGATATATCAATGATATCATTGGTGTTTCTTCCCTGTCATCTGGAATTGGAAAAGTTCATCAATTTCACTTCCAATTTCCTCCCTGCCCTCACTTTCACTTGTTCTATTTCTGGCTCTTCCCTTCTATTCCTTGACATCTCTTTTTCCACTTCTGGGAGTAGACTGGCCACTAATATCCACTATAAACCCACTGACTCCCACAGGTACCTGGACTATACATCCTCATACCCTGTTTACTGTGGAGACTCCATCCTATTCTTTCAGTTCTTCCATCTTCATCGCATATGTTCAGATGCGGCCAACTTCGACAATGGAGTCTCTGAAACGTCCACCTTCCTCAACCAAGGATTCTCCAGCACCATTGTTGACAGGGCCCTCAACAGAGTCCAACCCATCTCCCGCACTTCTGCCCTCACCCCCTCTCTTCTCTCCCGCAACAGCGATAGGGTTCCCATTGTCCTTTCCTATCATCCCACCAGCACCCACATTCAGATGATCATCAGATGCCATTTCTGCCACAAGACACAGTCACTAACAGTCCCTATTTAACAGCTATTCACCCTCTTAGCCAGATTGTTATCAACTCTTTTGTCTATCCAACTGCTCTTCTCTCCCTTTGGGCTCTATTCTTTATCCTATCGTTCACTCCCTACCCCATTCCCCTCCTTATTTTCTGCATATAAACCAACATTCTCCTAGCTACCATCAGTTCTGAAGAAGGGTCACCAGACTCTGATTTTTCCTTCACAGATGCTGCCAGACCTGCTGAGCATTTCCAGCAACTTTTGTTATTGTCCAGATCTTGTTGCGTTTGAACACGGACTGTTCTAAGTATCTGAGGAGTCACAAATGGTGCTGAACATCATCAGCAAACATCCCCTCTTCTGACCTAATGATGGAATGAAGGTCATTAAAGCAGCTGCAGATGGTTGGGCTGAGGACAGTACTCTGAGGAACTCCTGTAGAGATGTCCTGGAGCTGGGATGATTGACCTCCAACAACCACGACCATCTTCCTATATGCCAGATATGACTCCAACCAAAGGAGAGCTTGCTCCCAATACTCATGGATTCCAGTTTTGTTAGGATTCCTTGATGCCACACTCAGTTGAATGCAGCCTGATATCAAGGGCCGCCACTCTCGCTTCACCTCTGGAATTAACCTCTTTAGTCCATGTTTGAACCAAGGCTGTAATGCGGTCAGGAGCTGAGTGGCCCTGGTGGATCCCAAATTGGGTATCACTGGGCAGGTTATTACTGAGCACATCCTGCTTGATAGCACTGATGACATCTTCCTTCACTTTACTGATGGAGGGTAGACTAGTAGGGCAGTAATTGGCTATGTTGGATTTGTCCTGCTTTGTATGTACAGGACATGCTTGGGACAATTTTCTACATTGTCAAGTAAATGCCAGTGTTGTAACTGTAGTGGAATAGTTTGGCTAAGGGAGTGGCAAGTTCTGGAGCACAAATACTATTGCCAGAATATTGTTGGGCCTCGACAGGGCCCATAGCCTTTGCAGTATCCAGTTCTTCCAACTGTCTCTTGATATCACGTGGAGTGAATCAAATTGGTTGAATACTGGTATCTGTAATGCTGGGTACCACTGGAGGAGGCCGAGATGGATCATTCGCTCAGCACTTCGGCCTGAAAATTGCTGTGAATGCTTCAGCCTTATTTTTTGCTCTGATGTGCTGGGCTTTTCCATCATTGAGGATGGGGATATTTGTGGAGCCTCCTTCTCCAGTCTGTTGAATCATCCACCACCATTCATGACTGGATGTGGCAGGAATGCAGAGCTTAGATCTGATCCGCTGATTTTGGGATCACTTAGCTCTGTCTATCATTTTCTGTATATGCTGTTTGGCATGCAAGTTGTCCTATTTGGTAGCTTCACCAGGTTGACATCTTCAGGTACGCCTGGTGCTGTTCCTGGCATACCCTTCTGCACTCTCCATTGAACCGGGGTTGATCCCCTGGCTTGGTGGTAATGGTTGAGTGGGGGATATGCTGGGCCATGAAGTTGCAGATTGTGCTGGAGAACAATTCAGCTGTTGATCGCCCACAGTACTTCATGGATGCTCAGTCTTAAGTTGCTTGGTTTGTTCGAAGTCTGTCCCATTTAGTATGGTGATAGTGTCACACAACATGATCGACGTTATT